GCTGCCGCGGATTGTAAAGGGAGTTTTAAAATTTGACGTAATAAAACTCACAACATTTATCAAGACTAGAGAGTTTGTTAAAACGTGAATGTACGCTGCATCATGAAGACTTTACAGTAATAATATGACATTGCGAAATAAAACGTTCTGAAACATCTTCGTACGTCGCTAGAAATTACAACAGATTTTCGAGCAATGTTGAAAAGTTTTTCGCAAAAGCGTAGTAAAATCTCGGAATCCTCTGCAGCTTCTAGAATATAAATGAAGACTCTAAGAAAAAGAAATTAGGATTAGTAGGAGCATGTGACTCCGAAATTGTGACTGGAATTAATTGGTAAAAACCATCTCATTCAATGAAATATTAAAACGTAATTGATATCTACTTGATAAAGCTCAAAATTATGGGATATTATGAAATTTCATAGAAGTTTGACAAATACCCGATACAAAGCTTTCTCATTTTATTAAAAGCGTTTGAACTCTTCTTTTTTCTTTTTTTTTTTATTTTACCTTTACATTCCACAATTCGTAACTTTCTGTGTTCGTATTTTATCATGCCGCTCACATAAGTCAAACGTGGCCGGGAAAAAAGTCATGGAAACGCGAAATTCGTGAAAATGCAAGCACTAAACATAATTCCAACTTTGTCCATTTGATTTTAGTAATAAAACGAATTCCTGGAAACCAGTCTTTGGAAATTGTTGATGATAAGTATGTAAATCATTTTCCACGAAATTTTAATCCTCCCCCTCTTCTGTGACGAAAGAAAAAAATTTAGAGTTCTCGAAAAAATAATTCACAAACGAAATCAGTATGTTCGCGGAATTTTTTCACCTGATGAAGCAACCGTGATAATGAAAATAATATAAAGGGCATACGCAATAGCTTCAGAATAATGAGAAAGAAATTTCTACCATATTATGCAGATTAATTACAGAAAATAGAAACTAAGTTAATTAGTTTTCCCAACGATGCCGAAAATTTAATATTTTCTGTCTCGACGAACTGTGTATTACTTTTACCATTTCCGTGCATCGAGCAACGTTAAATTCAATAAATCATGCCCTCGGCATTATTCGCTGCTCGATTTGAGCATTTGTTGAATTACGCGGCTTGTTTTCCCGCTTTTTTTTTCATCCACCCTGTGAAACACGACGACTATGAACGATCTTCGTGACGAAAATTAACGAACAGCTTGCGACGTCGGCTAATAAATAATTGTAAAATATCACGACGCAAGCTATTACGAAGATGTTGGAAAATAGAAAGTTTCATAAATAATTAATAATTGACTAAAATAAAACTGGCAATTACAACTTGTGAATTTCGTTGCAGATCGAATCCATCATCATGAACATCTCACTGTACGACGGAAACGAACTGAGAGAGAATATTTGGCCATCCACGTTCAACGGTACATCAACGACATTCCTGTCTTACGCAAACGACTCGATATACAATGATTTTGGTACGAATTATTGTTGGAAATGTATCGAACGAATCTCTCAGAACGCATTTACTTTGGCGAAGCAGAGTTTCGTGTAACGATATTTTTAATACATCCGAAATATACTACGAGTTTTTAAATTAATACTACATAAAGTAATGCACGTTGTAGCTACCTTAAAGCTGCAATGCGTTCTTTGAGTTCTACATACGCTATGTATATTTAAAATCGTGAGTATAGACAGAAATTAAATAAAAAAAATAGGTCATACTAAGATCAGACATTAAAATTTTTACAATAAAACGAAATTTATAGAATTTGACCCGCAGGCGATTATTATATACAGAACGTGCCTATATAGTACATGAAGAGATAAGTCGAAAATAAAGAATAAAATTCTTTCGTTTGAGGTTTTGCTTCTTGGAAAATTTCCCTTCCGTCAGAAATGATCTAGCACAATGAACACTAACGAAATAGTAACGAGATAAAGTTTAAACCTAATTAAAATTATTTTAAATATCCACGCTGTTCATCGTTTAGTTTTCATAAAGAAAATATTTAATACAACGTTTAATGTAATAATTAATGTTCTTACACGGCGCGAAACCTATGCGACAAATGTTCGTTGCACACTTACGCAGAAAATTTTACTACAAATCATCTTTTTAAGCAATTTCCACGCGAGAAAATTATATTTTTAAAATTAAAAAAATTAACGCAACGTTGGCCATTTAAATTAAATTCGTGTCAAAGCTGTTTTACATTCCATTTAATAAGATGAATGAACAAATGAATTTTAATTCACAAACGAATTACATTAAAATCCCAGAAGATTTCACCTTGTTAGAAATTACTATGCTATTTCATGCTGTCCCGCGCCCTCTTAACCTCATGAAATATCGTTTTATCATGTTCCTGTTCGTTGAAAAACGGTTAACAATAGCCCATTTGAATAACATATTCTCTCTCTTTCACTTTGTACACTGTGAGCTCACTTTTTGACGTTTATAACAATAAAGGAATTAAATTCGTTGTATAACCCTTTGGCAACGTTACAATATACGAATAAGCCGGCGCATGTTAAAAGAGGTGCAAAGTGAATCTCCTTCGCAGTTCTCGTCCCTTTCAGTTTCGCGCGACCATCGAGATCACAAAATCTAATGTTTTTATTCATGATGCTATTTCACCTTTAAATTGTACGCGAAAATATTCATACCAGTGTCGTAAACGTTCGCTCGGGGAAAAGAAAAAAGTTGAACAATATGTACACCGTTGTTTGATCGAGAACGGAGTATAAATAATTTAGGATCAAAGCGCGAGAGGTAAAAGTTTTTAGTTAACTTTTCATCTGGAGGAATAGACGAAAGTATTCGTACACTCGATAAGAAATTTTCAATTATGTTATGGCTTCGTTGTGAAGAAACGAACGTTCTTGCAACGAAGGAGGAAAGCAAGGATACTTTTATTGTAACAATTTAAACGTCTTCAGAATCATTGGAAAATTTTTTTCACCATTAGATCTACCATTACTTTGGAAGTCTTCCCTTTAAAATTTGTACGATTATTTTTCGTAATGGATCCAATCGTGAAGAAGATTCTTCAACGTTTCTAGGAATTTCAGTTTTGACGATTTCCGAAAGTAAAAGTACCCTTTACGTTTCCATTTGCTACGTAATGCGAAAACATATTGAAAAGAACGGACTTAAAGTAGAATTAGAAGGATTGTTAAGGAGATACTTTTAAAACGAGACTAACTAAATGGATTGTTACGTGATCTTTTTTTTTTTTTTTTCTAAGAAATTATGACAGCTTAAAATATCGACGATTTTTCATCGTTATTATAGTTCAGTTATGCTCATCATCACTGCGTCAACATTAAAATCGATGTCGTTGTTAAAAATTGTTTTCACATTAATTCTTTTACATTTCAATTCGTTTCGATACAATGCATCCTTATTGTCTCATAGTCAGATGAGATCGGTTGGCTTTCAGAAGACAAATACGAGGTCCCAATCGCTGTACTCGTGCTCCTGAGCATTGCGTACGGAACGATATCATTTTTAGCGGTAGTGGGGAATTCTCTTGTCATGTGGATAATAGCTACATCGAGGCGCATGCAGAACGTGACAAACTTCTTCATAGCGAATCTGGCATTGGCGGACATTGTCATCGGTTTATTCGCCATTCCGTTTCAGGTAAGATATTTACTCGTGATTAGTTCAACGTGATAAAATCTAAAACTACTAAAATAAAAAAACTACTCTAACCATAAGAAATATTTATGTGTTATAGTTTCAAGCAGCCCTGTTGCAAAGATGGATCCTCCCTCATTTCATGTGCGCGTTTTGCCCCTTCGTGCAAGTACTCTCTGTCAATGTCTCGGTTTTCACATTGACAGCAATCGCGATCGATCGACATCGGGCGATCTTGAAGCCCCTCAGGTGAGTCAATTATTCATCGAATGAGAAATTACCGAAATTGAATAGTAAATATACTTGTGTTCGACATTTTCCCGATCTTCTTCTACTTTTTATCTCTATATGTTTCTCGCTTTAAACAGCGCGAGGCCAAGCAAACTGACCGCCAAATTCATAATCGCTGGAATTTGGTTTCTCGCTGGAAGTTTAGCCACGCCGGTGGCAATCGCACGAAGGGTCATTATGGTACCGGATGGTTCCAATGGTAAATAAAACGATCATTCGATGTCAACAACACGACTCATAAGATTGAACTAATCTTACGTTTTCTGTTCAATCACAGATCACCTAAAACCATTCTGTATACATGTGAACCTGTCCAACAGATCGATGTTCATTTATTCAGGGCTATTGGTATTTTTGCAATATCTCACGCCACTCTCGATCATTTCCTGCGTGTATGCAAGAATGGTGTTGAAACTTTGGGGGAACAAAGCCCCAGGGAATGCCGAAGATTCTCGAGACGCGAACTTGATGAAGAACAAGATGCGGGTATACATTTCATCGATCTATGAATAAAAAAAAAGAAAAAAAGAAAAAAAATCTCAATTCGATTCTTTGAAAATTTTTCTGAAATTCGATTGATTCTCGTTGGGCTTCTATCACTTGATACAGTTGTCCGTCTAAATTGTTCGTTGCGTTTTCAGGTAATCAAAATGTTAATAATAGTCGTGGCGCTTTTCGCGATTTGTTGGCTACCGCTTCAACTGTACAACGTTTTCCAATATTTTTACTCGGAAATTAACGAGTAAGTAGCGTGCGACTTTCACACTACAGAGATTTACGCGATAGATTTTTACGCTGAGAATCATAATTACAGATACAGATACATCCATTACATATGGTTTTTCTTTGATTGGTTGGCCATGTCAAATAGTTGTTACAATCCATTTATTTATGGGATATATAATGTAAGTATCATTTGGTGCAAGTGTTTCTACATTGCTGAGTGTAAAATCAACCTTTTAGGAAAAATTCAGAAGGGAATTTCAACAGAAATGTCCCTTTAAATCGCGGAAATGGTCAGCTAATCCAACAATTGATACCATGGACATGGATAAAACACAAAGCACACGAGTTTCCATAAGGTATTAAATATATGTATTTCATGTGGAACTGCTCTCCAGATTTTATGGAAATATGTATATATTACTTACAAAAGTAACCTGCTACTCATACATTGAGAAAGATCTTTATAAACACGATTATATTAGTCAAATTTGAAACAAATCTATATATAATATAAATTAATATATATATATATATTATATTATAT